AATTGGTGAATGGAGAGATGCTATGGCAAAGCGACAGGGACTCTGTCATGTCACTTATGTACAGGGCAGAGTTTGTCAACCTCGGCACTAGATGATTGAACTAGATAATTCTTCTTGTTGAGGGCTGTCCTGTGCATGGAGAATCCTGAAGAGCACCCTTGCTCACCTCTTACCATTACAGGCCATCCCTCCTGTTCTCATGTCAATCAAAAAATGTCTGCAGACATCGCTAAATGTCCCTCGTGGGGAAACTCTCCTCCTCTTGGGAACCACTAGCCCAGCTTGTCCAGGTCTAAGGGGAACCTGGGAGGTGGGACTTTCAGAACGAAAATGGAAAGACAAGTCCCCAGCAAACCAGGACGACTTGATCGTCCTGTTACGTCATGCTGTGTTTCATACTAAAGTTGGAAAGGAAGCCTTCAAACATTTGGATACGTTTGTTCAGGAGGTGCTGACAAAGACATTAGGAATTCTGGTGGTTACATGTTGTGCTGTTAAGAGAAAGGTTAGTGGTTCAAATCCACCAGCTGCTCCAGTGGAGGATTTCTGTGAGTCGGAGCAGATTTGATGGCACTGGGTTTGGTTGGCTCAGGCAGACAGAGGCAGTGGGGAGAATGTGGTACCAGAGAACCATTTTCATGTCACATTCAGCGTGTCTCTGATTCCATAAAGGTGATAGAGTTTGTCCCTCTTTTCTCTTGGTGACATAGGACATTAGGAGGTGTGAACTCATCTGATGGCCTGAGAGGACACGATTCAAACTGTGCTGCCTTTTTAGAAGAGAGGTGGGGTGTTGTGTGGTTTTTTTTTAACACCTGGTAGTGAGTTTGAGTGACAGACTTTTTCTTAGCATTGTAGGCTGTATGACAGTGTACATCATGAAAGTGACAGCAACAGTGGGGACTAATTTAATTCCATTTTTCTTTTCAGGCCCTGATAAATCATTGCTGCGGGGGAAAAATAAATTTTACTTTCTTAGACAAAAACGATGCAAATAATGATGTGCTCAGGGGAGGGTGGGGGCTGAGAGCAGGTCTGCTGGTGGGCTTAACAATATTTAAAAAGCAGATCATGAAAGTTGATGCAGAAGCCTCATGCGTCGGCCCTAGTAAATGACTTACTCCCCCCCCAAAAAAGCCTCTTTTCCAGACGAACGAGAAGGGTCCCGTGGAACCGCAGCAGCCATCTTGGCTAAATGAGTTTTTAGGGTGTCTCATCGGACAAGGTAATTGATTACACTGCCGCATACCCTACGTGAGTTGGCGAGGAGAACAGCAGAAAGAAAGCGTCTAGAGTCTGGAGTCCTGACCGCTAACAAATAGGAAAAGGCTCAACAGGAAGGGGAAATTGTCTGGTTTTTTTCCCACCTCTCTTCCAGAAAATGACTGTGGCTTTAGCAATATGGTTCTTCTGGGAGTCATTTTTAATGATGGAGGGAGTGAATTACAAAGAGCAGCCCTAGAGTACTAGGAGTGAGGGAACGGGTGGATTTGGGGATAGGGTGGTGTGAGAGGAACTTCTTACCCCAATGGGAGAGGAGAAGGGGCCCCTGAAGCTTGGAGGAAGGTATTTGCACTTTGTCTAAGGTACGCAGTGCCCTGTTGTTGTTTTTGTTATGTGCTGGTCAGTCGGATCTGACTCATAGCTGACCCTCCAACGGCTTTTCAGAGCCTGTAAGTCACATGGAATTGCCCTTCTTTCTCTTCTGGAGCAGCTGATGAATTCGAACCGCCTACCTTTGGGTTGACAGCACAATTTCTTCCCCAGTAGGCTACCAGAGCCCCCACCCAATGCCTTAGGAGGAGATTTTAATCCCATATTTGAGTGCATGAAAAGCACAAGATAATCTTAGTAGATTATCAGAGATGATGGAGATTGGTGAACGTCACTGAATTCTCTACTACAAAATGGTTTCTTTAAAGTTTCAAAACAATTTTAAAGACCTGTAAGTTATTGTGACAACTTATACGTGCTTACTGGTTTTAGAGGATTGAAACATCTCCTTTTATGTGGAGTAAGGATGAGGGAATAATTCCTGGTGGTGCCGGGAGGGATAGAGGAGTAGGTCCCACAGGCTTGGCCAAGTTGATACCCACTGGGGCTGCAGATGATGGTAACTTGGACTTCCTAAGAATATTCTTTCTCACTTGACATCTACAGTAAAACCCATGAAAATCAGAACCCTCCCAAAGAAGGGAAATGGAAATGCTTGCCACTAAAAGAGTAGTAAGACTACATACACTCTGTCAGAGGCAGAAAACCTTTGAGACCTGGAAAAAGACTGTCTGGTCAGGTTCCAGCTCTCACAGGTTTCACTGAACCACACTATGGTTCGGGACACCAGCCCTCCCACAGGCAGTCAAAAACCCAGGCCGATCTGTGCACAAATCCCCCCTACTGTGGGTGAGCACAAGTACTGCAAAATCCCCCTTAAAAGCCAAGGGCCACTAATCAACCTTCACATGACCCATTGCTCCGTCAGAGGTGATTAACAACACTTGAGCTCCCCTCAGTCACAACAGAAGGAAAAAGAATCCATGTACAAGTGGGCACTTTAAAGTAAAACCTGTGTTGTTCAAGGATTAACTCTTATTTGTAATGTTCCATGATAAACATGTGCAAATAACAAGCAAGGTACGAGACAATCAGTTTCTTGTGCGTAGACTCCAAGTCATCCCAGTCTGCCCTCTGCCGTGTCGCTCTGGGTGCTGGCAAACTGGACGAAAACCAGGGCTGTTTGCTTTATGACCATTTGCTGCCCACAGAGCCACTGAGATCTCTCTACTGGCCAGTTCATCCTCAGTTGCCCTCAAACTTCGGTGACTGACGGGATAAATCATTGGCAAAAGCTATAAAAATCCCTGTCAGGGAACCACTGGCCTCTGGAGCCGTGTGGACGTAGGTAGATGAGCAGTTAGTGCCAGGCTGCCTTTATTGGCATGAGCCATTACAGCGGCAAGAAGAATCGTTCTGCGAGTTATCAGACTGCCACAGCTCGCTTCTCACAACCCACCTGAGAGCAATTGCCTTCGTCTGATGCCTGCCCAGCTTTGGGAGAGTTCTAATTTCCCTATTTGTCTTAACCCTGATAAACAGCCCAGGGCTTTGGGCTGGGGCCGGCCAGCCGTTGAAAATACATATCTGTCTTTTAAAAAGCAGGGCCTGGACACTGTCTGAAATAGGAGAATCAATTTGAGGAGACATAAAAGATACACAATATTTTATTGACGTTGGATGGATATCATTTAAGTTCCATGTCCAAGAGGGCCTTGGGCTTTTGGGTTCTACTGGCCTGGTGTCACCCCTTCCTTGGCTAAATCCACGCCGAACTCGAAACCGCACGGTGTTGCTTTATTGCCAGCAAGCTCGGAATCGAAGAACCTGCGTCATTGTCCTACGTCTGATGTGCAACAGCATCAGCGTCCCAGTTGGCTGTAGACGTGAGAACAGGAAAGAAAGAAAATGGTAGCAGGAATGTTGCACTGGGGAAAATAGGAATATAGAATAGTATATTTTTAAATAGAATATTTAAGACATTGTCTGGGCCAGAGCTATGCTGTAGGGTTTGCTGCTGAAGGAAAGCAAGACAAAACTGAATTAGCACTTGGTTTACAGAATATCTGGGACCTCAGCCCTTGAATTTTCCTTGTTTTGAGCGTTTGTCCTCTGCCAGCGGCTGCCCAGGCTCCCTCTCCCGAGAAGTGGTTCTGTCATTGTATTAGTTCCCTAGAGCTGCTGATCACAAGCTTGGTGACTTGAAATGACACGAGTGTTGACTCCCAAACTTTGGAGCTAATCGTCTGAAGTCAAGGTGTGAACAGGCTCTGAGGGAGAGGCCGTGCCATGTCTTGTTTCTAGCTTCTGGAGTTTGCACACAGTCCTTGGTGTTTCCTGACTTTCAAACACAGAATTCCAGTCTCTGCCTGGTCTTCATGTAGCCTTCCATACTGTGTGTCTCTGGATCAGTCCTTTCTCTCTTTTTTTTCTGCAAGACCAGTCATTGGATTTAGGGTCCATTGGTTCATCTTGATGATCCCATCTAGAGTTCCTTAATGACATCTGTAAATACCTTGTTTCCAAATAAGCTCACGTTCATGGTTTTTAGGGGTTAGGACCCCTAATATATAAATGATATCATTTAGGGGAGACATAGTTCAACCCACTACTGACTTTTAAGGGCTATATTTTGTCCCCCTTCCTATCTCTAGATTGGCTTCTTTCAAAACACAACTCGTGTGGGATATTAGGCAGAAGCCTGGATCTGCCCTTTGCTTCGGTTCCCTCAGATTGGGCTTCAGTATCTCTTCTTACTACGTCCACTGTAACATTTCTAGGAAACTGAGTCTGTGGCAGAATTCAAGCTGGCTAAACCTTCCAACAGGACCCCAACCAGGCACTGAATTTGGATATTGTCTCAAGTCAAATAAAAGAGGAGTTCATAATCCTATGAGGTCCCCCTGAGCAGTCCATACACATTTTACGAAGAGCACATGAATACGCCTGGTAAATTATTAATGTCGTCCATAGATCAGAGAGGAAGACCTTCAACACGATGGATTGACACGGTGACTGTAACGGTGGGCTCAGGCATATCAGAATGTAAGGATGGTTCAGGTCTGTTGCTCAGAGGATGAACTGGAGTGACTTCAGAGGCACCTAACAACAGCAGTAAGCCAGAGGAACTCTGGTGGCATTGTCTGTAGAGACTCGTGCTGCTAACACCAAGGCTTCAATTCTTTACTGGTACGAATCCACCAGCTGCTCTGCGGAAGAAGGATGGGCAGTCTCCTCCTATGTGCTTATAGCCTAGAAAATCCCCTGGAGGGGCACCTATGAGTCAGTGGGCAATGATGAGAGAAGACATACTCACGAGATGGGCATGGCGTGACCATGGAAGCAAGGGGTGCCTTACAGCTCACCTGTTCTCTTCAGTAGACGTCGTGGTGCATTGAGATTTGGAATAGACTCTAATTTTTCTTTTCTTTTCTTTTTCCTTTTAGTAAACTTCCAGGTTGGGCCAGAGCTGTTGTCCCCAAAATATTTTATGTTACTGAGAAGGCTTGGAACTACTATCCCTACACAATTACAGGTAAGTCCTTGGTGCAACCAGTGTACCACACAGAGTGACCACAGGGATATAAGCTGAGCTTCTCTGATGTGGGATCAATTATCTGTGGGACAATTCTCCAAATCTGCATGGCACTTATAGGCGGCACCCAATTTCCAGATAGCCAGGAGGCCGTTAGAAAAGGACATAAATATGAATTGCTCCATAAACAACATGTCCTTCCAACCAGAGCTAAATAGTAACACATGGAGAGTAGCTTTTATTGCTCACAAGAATCAGGCAGCATCTAACTGGCAGAGTTCCATCATGAACGGTACCCCTCAGAAACTATCTGGGCAGAGACAGAAAGTCTTCCCCGCGTGCTTCACTTTGTGCTATGAGTGAGGGGCTTAAGGGAGGCCATATTTACCACCCTATTCCCTCTGACCAGGTGGGTGCACTTAGATGGGCTTGGAGATGATGATGTGTGTTTTCCACCAGCACCACAGCAGAGGTGACCAAGAAAACGTCCTCTCCCAGCTGCTTTATACCCTCAGCCCAAGTGACTCATAGTTACCTTTTTAACCCTGCTCACAGACATCCTATTGTGTCATGCTGCCCTGACTTCCTGAGGAGAGGTGGTTTGCTGCACATTAGATCTTTGTAATTTTTGCTAACAATTATCAAACGGTGGTTCATTCTGAGGCCTGAAGATGCCGGGGTGGAGAGGAACAGAGACAGTCCCAGCCTCTGAAAGCCTTGCTCTTCACAGTTTCCAATATTTTGTGGAATCCCATCACCATGCCTACCTCTCCCCTTGCCTGCTTACATTGCGTCGTCACCACCGCTCCGAATGGTGAGCAGGAGAAGGTGAGGCGTGAGGATTAAGCTAAGCCATTGCATCTTGCTTTTGGAGTGACCAGAGGAAATGGTTTATGGAAAAAGAAGACAAACTCATTTTTAGTGGCATCTCTTTATCCTTATTTTTACCTCAGAAGCCTTCATGGATTAAGTGTTGAGGCGCTAACAGAAAGTTGGCCATCTATACCTCCCTACTGCTCTCAAATAGAAAGATGCGGTGATCTTCTCCCATAAAGACCGCAGCCCTGGGACCCTCTGGGGGAGGTTCTACTTTGTCCAATAGCATCCTGAGTCAGAATCAACTGGGCCATAGTGGAGTTGCTTTTTTATTTTGGTTATTTCCCTCTATTTCTTCAATTTGAGAGTACAGTTTGCTTGTTTATTTTGACTTTTTAATTTTACCTCCCCCCTTTTTACCCCCAGAAAAACCTGACTGTAGATTGTGTAAAAAGATTGCATCTAAGAACTCCAACCCCAGGAACACGGGTGAAGGAGGGCAGAGCCCCCCAGTTCCTCTTAACAGCAGTGGGAGAGCTCTGTCCTTTTTCTCCCCAGCTCTCTGCCACAGTTTCCTTCGCTGTTGAGATAATGGGAAGGTCTTAGAGAATGTATTCCTGCCCGTTTGTAAAAGAGTGATAATAAATTCCCTGCACTCAAAAATTAGCAAGATTTGGTTCCTGCCCTCAAGCACATTAAAATTCAAGATCCCACTTCAACATCATCATAGCAAACTCCTCTTATTGGGCATAAAAGGCTGATTTTCCACTTAAAATTATTTCCTTTGTGGTTAATTAAATGCTCTACTGGAATTATTAGTCTTTAATTCTGTTTTTATAATGCCAGTGCTTTGGTTTTTAATTAACCACAATCCTATAGGCTAATTGAATCTTGTCTTATTGTCCTTATCTGGCCAACCACAGAAGTATCACATGAAAAGGTTTCAAAAGCAAGAATGGAGACAATCAGTATTTATGCAAGGTTAATTCTTAGAAGGTCTCGTTACCACATTCTTTTATAATTGTATGTAGTTGTTACCTCTGTGGTTTTATATTGCTTATAAGCATGGTTCATATGATCATTTTGTCTCTCTTTTTCTTTCCCTTTCTCTCCAAATGAACATCTGGGATCAGAATACACGGTAAGTTTCATTTAATCGTTTTAAAATATTTAGTCTAAGATTAGTGGTGTAATTGGAACTTCCCTGCACTGCTCTTCTTATCAATGCAGTTAAAAGAAAAATAGAAGAGTCGTTCAAATCAGAAATATTTAAATGTAGGCTATTACACAGCTATATATAATGTAAGAACTTGCATGTTCTCATTTGTTCAAGAATATGAATATAAATTTAAATTGCCTTCCTAGTCACTTCACGTAATTAACTTTTGCTTGCAATTTTTAAAGAACTTGACTGCTTTATTTGTGGTAGTTAATTGTAATGGAATAAAAATGTCTAGAAACATGAGATTAAAGAGATGATGATAATTATTGATAGAAAAAAAAATAATTATTGATAGAATGTGGAGCTTGTACCCAACAGGCTGTGGCCTGATTCCTTATTGGACAACCTTGACAGTGGGGAGACATGTGTATAAAATCTCTGTGCCTTGATAAGAAATCATTTCATTTATTCTGAAGAACCTCTAGAGTCATCACTTAATTAAAAAAAAAATTTAAAGAGGAGGGAACCCTATAAAATCATTATATGTTTTCCTTGCATCATTTTCCTAATTGCACCAGGTCAGCCTATCTTAAGAAAGTTATTAACTAAATTGGGATGGAATCCATTTTCAGTCTTAACCAAAATAGCCAAAGAAACAGAGATAAGAAAGGAATGGACACAGTTTAAAAGCAATATATTATAGGGCATTATGATTATCATAAGAGTCAAATGAAGGTTGCAGAGTGGAGTGTAATCGGGGTGGGGGTGGGAGGGTGCAGGGGGATTGTATAACAAATGAAGGAACTTTTCTATTACTTTCAAAGAGAAGAGGGAACTGGGAGGCAGGGGGGTGGGGAGAAAAGTGCAACAATGAATGATTGGAAATCCAAAATAACTGTAATTGTTCATTGAAGTTAATAATTTAAAAAAGAAAGAAAGAAAGGAAATGGAGAAAAATATGGTCCTCAGCCCATAGTCAGGGCTCAATAAAAGTATTGAATCTATAAATGAATGAAAGAATAATGGTAAGAAGATAAACAGAAGGCTGTGTACAATACTGTGTTATGTTCTTTGAATCAGATGAGTTTGATTATCTTCTGACTCTGTTACTTACTGGCTGGAGTGCATACAGAGGGGTTCCTAATTGTCAGTTCTTGAACTTGTGTCTGACAATGACTGCATTCTTGTCAGTCTTCAGTAAGATAGAAAGAGGAAACAAACTTGAAATCTTTTCACAGACTTCTGTTTACTCCATTGCAAAGATTGATTGTGAACACAGCCCTATTCTTGCTACTGAATGCCTTTTCTTTTATGAGATAATAGAAAAAAAATATATATATAGTTGGGTTTTTTCCAATATTTCTAACTTGGGAAGGGGAAAAAAGCTATTCTGGGACAAAATGCTATTTTTACATTTTAGATGTCAGGGAATCACTGATCCAGAACAAGTAGCTTAGTTCTCTGAATCTGTGCTCCTTGCATGTCTAAAAGTGAGATAATCCCTCTTCCACAGGGCCGGTAGCAGGAGTCAGTGAGCTAACACAGGGGTCGGCAAACGTTCTAAACAGGATCACACAGAAGGAGGGTTCTGCTTTCTGCGCCATATAGTTTCTGCCCTTGCAGGAGCAGCCACAGACAGTATGCAGACTTGTGACCATAGCTGGCTTTGCCTGAACCAGCAGGCCAGAGCTGACCCTAGCCGATAGCTGGCCAACCCCTGATCTAATATATCAAAAGCTTGTACAATCCCTGCGTAAAGCAAGGAATGAAATGATTTTCCAACACCATCTCTTCCTTCTAGAAATTATATAATGGTCAAGAGGAAAGCTTTGGATTCAGTTGGGCCTGTCGCCAGTGCCCATTAACAGTTGAGCAAATTACTTTTCCTCTTTAAGTCTCAACTTCCTCCTATGCAAGTAGGGGAAAGAGTAGTAATTGTCTTGAGGGCAATGTGAAGATTACATTAAATAATTCACACAAAATTTTAGCTTTATGTTTGGTGCATGGTAAATGCACAGTAAATGCCCATTGTTATTTATCATCTTCCATATAGTGATAGCTGGAAGCTTCCATTAAAATGGAAATTCTGTGGGCTAGTGTTGTGTTATTGTTAGGTGCCTTCCAATCACTTATGATTCATAGCAACTTTCTGTACAACAGAACCAAATGCTGCCTACCCCTGTGCCATGCCCACAATCCGAGCTATGCTTGAACCCATTGATTAGGCTGTGTGTCTGTCCATCTCATAGAGAGTCTTCCTCTATTTTTTTTTTTTTGCTGGCCTTCAACTTTACTAAGTGTGATTCCCTGCCCTAGGGACTGATCCATCCAGATAACATAAGTTCTACAAACAAAATCTTAGCACCATTACCTCTGAGGAATATTCTGGAAGTTCTGGCTGATTTGTTCCTTCTTCTGGAATTGCATGGCATAGTCCATATTCTCTGTCAATGCCTTAATTCAAATGCATTGATTCTTCTTCCGTCTTCCTTATTCGTTGTCCAGCTTTCATAGGCGTATGCAGCAACTGAAACTATCAGGGCATGGCGAGGTGCAGCAAATCTTCAACGTGACATGTTTGCTTTTGAAAGAGCCTTTAGTGCTCGCTTCGGCCGCACATATACTAAAATTGGAACGCTACAGAGAAGATTAGCATGGCCCTTGCAAGGATGACACGCAAATTCGTGAAGCGTTCCATATTTTTGTTCCATGATTCATAGGGTCAATATAAGTCATAGCAGACACAATGACACCTAGCAACAACAACAACAACAAAAAGAGCCCTTTAGTAGCAAATTTGCCTGATGCAATATGTCCTGTGATTTCTTGATTGTTGTTTCCATGGCCACTGGGTGTTGGCCCAAGTGAAATGAAACCCTTGATAACTTCGTTTATCATGATGTTGCTTATAGATCCACTTGTGAGGATCTTTATTTTCTTTTAAATATATATATATATATTTCTTTAAATTCATGTTAATGAAAGTTTACAGAGACTTAGGGTTTCCAGTCATTCATTGTTTCACTTTTCTCCCTGTCCACCCCTTCCCCCCAGTTCACTCTTCTCCTTGAAAAGTAAAAGAAAAACTCTATCATTGCTCTGTAATCTATCTCCCCAAGTCTACTTCATTGTGCAGCCTTCATTCTGGACTCCTGTCATGACAATACTCAATCATATATCCCTTTAAACAGTTCTCTCCCTCATCTGTTTCAATGCTGTATACATCATTCCTCTTCTCCTTCTCTGCCTTCCCTCAACCCCGATGTCAGTCCCATTTTACAACAGTGGCTCTATGCAATATATGTCCTTTTGTGACTAAGATATTTCCCTCAGCATAATGTCCTCCAGGGTCATCCATTTTGCATAATATTCATGAGTTCCTTGTTTTCAGTGCTACATACTATTCCATTGTGTGAATAGACCACAGCTTCTCTATCCATTTGTTGTTGATGGGCACTTGGGTTGTTTCCAGCTCTTTGCTATTGCGAACAAAGCCACAATAAACATAGGTGTGCATGTATCTGCTTGGCTTGGCTGGCAATTATGGTTTCTTTAGGGTAAATTTCCAGTAGTGGAATTGCTGGGTCAAATGGTATTTCTACTTGCAACTTTTAGAGAAAGAGCCAGACTGCCTTCCATAGTGGTTGCAAATCTTTATTTTCTTTATGTTGAAGTGCAATCCATACGGAAGACTGTAGTCTTTGACCTGCGTCAGGATCTCAAGTCCTCTTTGCTTTTCGAGGCAACAGTGTCCCCTTGGTCTGTTCAAGTGAATACCCCTCAGTCCATTTACAGATTCAACAGGAGCACAATTAAGGGCTCTGTAATTCCCATTCTTCACGATGTTATCCATAGTTTACTATGACTCACATAGTAAATGCCTTTGTGTTCTTAATAACAGAACAGAGGTAAACAGTTATTTTTATATTTGCTTTAGATCAAGGTCCATCTGACATCAGCAGTGGTTTTCCTCATTGCATATCCTCTCTGAATCCAGCATGAATTTAAGTCTATTCTCTGTCAGCCTGCTACAACAGTTGTGAAATTGTTTTTTACAAAATGCTTGGGCTAATAGTTGAGAAAACATGTATCTTAGCCCTCATCAATGCAGAGTTAGTCACAGCTATTAGACTCAAAGGTACTAATTATCTCAGATATTATTTTATTTTATTGATATCTCCTCCATTCTACTTCTCCTTTCCCAGAAAGCTTGTGCTTGGAATTTTCATTTGAAATGTAATTAATAATTATGTGGACAAGAGCTCTTTGTCCATTTAACTGTGTAATAGCAGTTATTTGCCTGGTGAGGCTTAGAATTAAACCACCATGATGTGACCCCAAATCAGTGCCAATTATTCTCCATAAGCTTTTCAGAGCATTGTGAAATGTGAAGAAAATAGGTAATATTAACAAAGAGATGGAATCAGGAAATGTTAAGTGACATTATGTTCACTTTTTAAGACTCTGCTAAAGTCCTAAAGTGAAGGTTCTGAAAACAGAATGTAACTGACTGAAAACAATGGTTCTTAACAAAGCCATTGCCTTGGGGACACACTGCCCTGGTGCCACTTCTCCAGTAGAACCCTCCATACTTTGTGGGGAGACTGGTCTCTGTACACAGCACTTCTGAAGGATTTGTAGTCTATAGGATCCTGGGATGGTACAAAGGGCAAATGTGTCTGGTTGTTAGCAGAAAGGTAGGGGGTTCAAGTCTACCCACAAGAGCCTCAGCTGTGGCCTGGTGCTGCCAAGTCAGCCATTGAAAACCTTCTGGACAAACAACAGATGCTGGTGTGGTTGTGGAAAAACTGGAACCCTTATCCACTGTCAGTGGAAGTATAAAATGGTGCAGCCATTATGGAAGGCAGTATGATGCTTTCTCAAAAACTTGGAAATAGAAATACCATTTGACCCAGCAATTCCATAATTCCAGCAATTCCAAAATATACCCTAAAGAAACCAGAACTGCCACCCAAGCA